TGAGTATGGCCAAAATTGTAGAAGCAGAACGGGCCGTTCTGATGGGAGAACGGGCCGTTCTGGTTTGGAGAACGGGCCGTTCTGGTTTGGAAACGGGTCGTTCTGCAAAATAACCGCCACAAATCACACATTTTTTTGTAGTGAAAGGGAGTGTGGGGTGTGGGGGGTGCGGGGAAGGGGGGTGGGGTGCGGGGAACGGAGGTACGGGGAAGGGAAGTGTAAGTTTAGGAATTTTATTTTTTTTAAGGGTAATTTAGACATTTTATATATTTTTTTTAAAAAGGGGGTGTGTTTATACGAGAGTGAAGGTGTGTTTATCATCTGCCAAAAAAAATATATATCAAGTGAGATAAGTCTAAAACTTTTCGAGCTCAAATAGGTTAAATAGGTTGGATTTAACCTATTTGACACAATCAGGTCAAATGAAATTGCTCAATCTTTTTTTGTCATCGTATTAAGGAGCCCGGCCCATTGGACGAACGGGCCAAGGTTACTTTAACACCTTTACTTGTCTAATAAATCTCATGCAAGATACATTTCAGCCATTAAATATAGCAGCTTTGTTGAGCATTGCTTAATAAATGAAAATAAAAATTTTTAATTAAAAATTAAAACATTTAAGAGTATTAAATATTTTCACTATAATTGGCAATATTTTTCTTGATTTCAATAAAAAGCCATTATTCCTTAGCTATTGCCATAAATGTAATAGAGTGGACTGAAAAAGGGTCATGTTAAAAAGTGTATTTTGTTATTGTTCTTGATTCTCATTTGTTGATTAGGCCATTCTGGCTTTTGGTGGCGTCAATCTTCCACAGTGGAGCTAATAAATAAGGACGGGAGAGACAATATATGATAATTACCTGAAATATTCTTCGTACGGTGTTCTGGAGTTAATGGCAAGTTGCGTCATGCTTGAGGACCCATATATACATATAATTGACAAAGAACCATTACTCTATGATGTTGAGACAAATCTTTAAAAAAGAAAGATCTTTCAACATTGAATTTAGGATAGTTATGCATGGATATTAACTAGGAATGGGCATCACAAAATTCATGTGGCCTCATTTGGAGATTTTCATAGAATGTGATGTGATCTATCACTTGTCAATTTGCATTTATCAAATAATAGTTTGCTATAGTCTTATGGAAGAATTGCAATTGAGAAAATGCACAACTTGATTTTTGAGAGATATTACCTACTTACTAGCTTTGATCTTTGAAAGTTATGATACAAATCAATTAGTGTCCTTAAAGGGATGAATTTGATACTAAGTAGACAACTTTAGGGACTAGAAATGAAACCAACACAAGTACCATTTTTTAAGATCCAAATTGTATATTTACTACATTGAATTTGTTCCTGCATTGAAGATTCCCCAGTTATTTTGATATTAAGTGTCTATTTATATGGGAAATATGATCTACATAACATTAACTAGTTTATTCATATTGTTGTTTGTTGAACAACTTGCTGGCTCTCTACAATTTCCAAAGAGAGAAATTATATATACATATACATCTAGCAGACTAGTACATGTTAACAACACCTAATCAACTGCATAAATCAAAAAGAAATAATCTCTTACACTCAAACTCTACTTGAATGATACGAAAATAGTCTTACCAAACAAATAATGCAGCAAAACAATGGAGAGAGAGAGAGAAGAGATCTATGCCCTTAATGGACTGCAAAAAGAGAACATATGAGTTTTTTTTCATTTTTTTATTTTTATAATTTTATTTTCTGGATTTTGTATGTATACACAAGTGACCAAGTACTAGTAGGCCTACTTGTGTAAGCTACTTCTTTTAATTACCACATAAAGTGATGTCCTTCTTGGATGGTCTGAAATTCAAAGCATTGAAGCTGTATATGCAGAGATTGGTTCTTCTTGCTTTGATTGCTATCACATTAGAAGTGGTTCTGTAGCCAGGAACATTGCAAGCAGAGGATGAACTACCTATTAAGCTTGCTTGGCATGAAGACACTACTGCAGAATCTTCTGCACATCTCACTCCATCCACTGAAGGGATTTCCAGCTTGTACATCCCATACTTGTTGGTAGTTCTGTTCACTGAAAGTGAAATCTGTTCAGCTGTTTTCTCTGAGAGTGCTTTGAACATGCAATCTACTTTGACCTCAGCACCTGCATGGACATAATTATGAAAAAAAACAACAAAAAAAAGTGTAAGGTGCACCCCATTTGAACTCTTTGAGTGTGTTTGAGAACATTATTGGTTAATCAAGACAAAAAAAGAAAGCAATTGTTTCTTTATTTAGTAATTGGCACCAATAATCATATTTCATTTTGGTTCCCACATGTATACTCCTCTAAAGGCAACAATAATTGAGATACAGTCACATACTAAATGTGCACACTTTTTTCAGTAGAAATCAAAACCATGATTTGTCACATTGTGAAAGACTAGTCACTAGTTTCTTCCATTAGACTTAATCAGATTGACAGTGCCAATGAACATATGCAGCTCAATGTTTCAACGAAAGTTAGTATGTTACATTACAATTTACAACACTATCTAACATTCAAACAAGGGGGTTATTGAGAGTTATCACCTGACAAGAAGTAACTGTGTCTGGAAAAGCTGTTGTTGGAGCAGAAATCACAATAAACAAAACCCATCACACTGATTTGTGAGATGGGGAACTTGGTTTTCCCTGGAAACTTGGGTCTTGCAGGCTCAACTTCCAAAAACTGAGTAAACAAGGGCAAAAGGAGCAAAAGGGTTATGGGATTCATGGCCAACTTTGGAAAAAAAATGGAGGGAAGCGTCCGAATGGTGTCTTATGAGGAACTAGAGCTTTGGTTTGCTTTGGTTTCAGAGCAATAGCAATTAGGTCCAAGTAGAAGATGAGTTTTGGGGTGCGGATAAAGAGGGGCAATGGTTAATGGAGAAGCAAGTTCAAGCATAAAGTTGGAAATAATTTTATCTTTTTTTCACAAGAAACAAAGACATGTGAATGTTGTTTGGCAAGACATGGAGCTCATGAGTAGGAGAGAGAAGGGGCAGTAGATTCTTTTGTATGGGAAGAACAGCTTCTATTGGGGAACTTGAGAAATGGGGCTGTGTTTAAATAGAGGCCAAGGTAGGGTAGGGTAGTGTGTAGTAGTAATGAATGAAGTATTGTATATGTAAGTTGTCACGGTTTTCTCTATTGCCTTATAAATAGTGGTACTATTAGTATCAACTATTGCCATATTAATTGCTGAATAGCACTTGGCAATTTGTAAGGGAAAAATGAGGAACACCAAGGTCCAAGCATATTAAAACATTCCGTTTTTTAGTGCATGCCATTAAGCACAGTGCATTTAAATCCCTCATTTATTGAGTTCAATTAAACCTTTTGTGTGCATGTGACTATGGCTGACATGACATATATAAAAGGGTATGGCATTGAAGAAAAGCGTGAAGCATTGGGGGGTAGCAGCATAGCATTCATGTCGTTCATGTGCACTTCAGAACAGAGAAAGTGTCATATCAGAGAAGGCATTAATAGGTGAAGTGAAATTGCTACTGGTCCCATGATAAAATTGAATTGTTGCACAGTACAAACGTGAGTTTTGCAACAATGCATATACATAGTGCTTTCTTTCCCTTTTCTCTTTATACAGAAAGGAGGCCAGATGCAATTAGCAAGCTGCATCTCCTCGACTTGGATCCGATCGATCAGGAGATTTTTTATTTTTTTTTTCGTTTAATTGAATTGGATCAATGATGGGTTGGGTTGATAATTAGTTAGTTAACCTAAAATATGACTAATTTGGCCAGATGCAATTAGCAACCCAACTCCTAACAACTTGAGCAATTATTTGGAGCTAATATGAGTATGCAGAGATTGGAATTTTTAAATATGGACTTAAGCGAAATTTGTGTTAATTAAATATGTGTTTTTATTATAAAGATAGTTTTATATAATTATAATAAATATTAATTTGTTTTGTCCGATTTTATATGACCAAAATTTAATATTTATTGTGTATTTTGTAAAAATGTCATGCTACAGAGTTGATTGGATACTTGACAAACAAGATGAATAAAAACTTCATGTCTTGTATCGTCGAGTAAAAACAATACCTTAAATCTCGTTGCCACTCCCTACTTCAAAACTAGGAGATGCAAATGATGAATAACAATCATTTAATGAACAACAATCAATTATCAAACAACATCTATTTGTTCGAGGATGTAGCTCAGTTCGAGTTCCACCTTTTCTAATTTCTAGACCAGTTGACACGGTTTAAATTGTTATGAGAAAACGATGCTCGAAACATCATGTCCACCAAACAATTGTTGGCAAATACTGATTGAGTAACAAATATGATATTCGATACAGATTCGTGGCATTACACAATTCACTCTAATAAATCACGAGCTTAGTTTCAACTTGAAGATCAAATTTAATTTATGTTCGATGTGTAAGACAAAGTTCCTTACTTCTGAAATGATTATATGTTAGATAATATTAATTAGTTTTTGGTGAATATAGGATTGTCAAAAGCCACTCCTTTGAATTGCATTAACTATTCTTTCGAGCAAGTTTCTAGTGTTGTGTTTGTTGATACTCTTAATCTAAATGATTTTGAATATTATATTGTTATATTGAAGGTAATGTCACTTCAATTAAATGTCCTTATTAATTAATATGATTATCCATTTGCTGGAGAGTCATATTTCATTTAATTTTTTATATTTAATAGTTTGAAGCTTTAATTTTAGGACCCCACTAGTACCATGGATGCCAGCATGCATAGTAAAGTTGCACAACACCCATATTACGAAAAAAAGACATAATTGTTGGTTGTGTCTTAATTCTTTGAGAGTATTTTTTTTCATTAGTGAATAACATACTTTATGTAAATATTTAACTATTTTTTACTATGACAAATTGTTGTATTTAGCTCTAGACCTAATCATGATCCCTTCTTCTTGAACATTACTAAGAACATTTAAAGGGTCAAATAGAGAAAAATGCCCTTAATTTTTCATTTAAAATAAATTTATACTAGTTAAATTGTATTGATATGTTTTTACATGTACATAGGTTATTCCGAAAGACCTTTGAATGACAAATTATGTTTAATGGTTATTTTAATTGGTGTTGTTTTAATCTCTATAATTTTAATTTTTGATGATTGTTTGATATATTGGTGGTGTAATAATTATTGTATTGAACTTTTATTTATCGTGTGTAATGTGAAATTCACCAATTAGTAATTATGTATGAGTAATTTGATGTAATGTCGTGTGTTGATTTTGTTAGTTTGATCTGGGCCATTCTTTTTCTTGTCATCATAGTGTATTTTTTCATGTTAAGTGCAATAAAATGCTAAGAGATTGACAATAATTGAATAGTAATGAGATATGTTATCAGTGCAATGTTATGTGCAGATTTTATTGATGCAATTTAGTCCATGTTTTTTTCTTTCTAACATAAGACAAATCTCTGAGAGATTTATAATGTAGTAAGTTCGATCATAGCTATCATTTTGTTGCCATATTAAACATCACCATGCAAGATTCCTAATGCGTGAACCATTTTTGGAATAAGGAGTTACTACCCAACTATTCTAAGAGTTGTATAGGGATGTAATTGGAAAAGGGATTTCCTACCTAAATAGCCAAAATTTGGGTGATTTGCCCTAGTTGACTTAAGATAAGGTGAAATATGGATCTTGGCCCAATAGAAAATCTTCCAACAATATTTTCAAAACCAATAATGGAGGGTCACTATAACAGCCCGATTTTCACAGATTGTACGAGGGCCCAAAGTTCGATAGGGGTAATTTAGTAGCCTAGAACGGGCCATTTCCAAATTGGAACGGGCCGTTCCAAAATACTAAAAGTGCCTACAAATCTTAGATGGGAACGGGACGTTCCCAAATTGGAACGGGGCGTTCCAAACCAGCAAAAATACCTATAACCCTAGTTGGGAAATGGCCATTCCAAATATGGCCGTTATGAGTTAAATGCAACCTTAGAACGGGTCGTTCTAGTTGTGAACTTTGCACATAACGTAAGAGTCTAGAATGAGCCGTTCTGGATTTGAAACGGGTCGTTTTGGCCACTCCTGATGCCTATAAATAGAGCTCTCTGACACTCCCAAAAAGCATACCTTTCAGTTCTGACTTCTTTCAGTTCTGACTTCTTTTCCTTCTACATTTTCTGAAGACCGAGTGGAACCTAGAGGAGGAGACCAACCAGATCCTGCTCTAGTTTCAGCTACTGCTTATCGAGGTACGGGGGAAAAATGGATTATTTGTATGTAGAGTTACATGAGGGAATTGGGTAGAGAAAGAGTCCCTTAGAATTATGAGTAATTTTATAATTGTTTCTATTTGAGGAATTGATGATCCCATTAGATTCAGTATGTATTGAGGATTAGAAATATATATTTAATTTGTGAAAATGATGATCTGGGAGAGAGAACGAAATTGTAGAAAAGTGCATGTGAGTTAGGTTTTGGAATCATTGGGGTTTTTACTATTTGATTTAATATTGTATTAAATTGGTGAATTTATTGGGTTTTATATTAATTTATAATTATTATTATATTATTGTTATAGATGTGTATTCATGGTGAATTGCTTGATAAGTATGTGAATCATTGTATTGTGTGGACTTATCTGTATGTAATATGGAATTTGAGTTATGAAATGAGATATGTGGAATGTGAATGAGATGTAATTGTGGATCCTCGTACTGATGACCAGGGGTGAGCATGGCCCTAGGTTGCTAAAAAGGGTAGCATGACCTTGGCACAGTGTTATGTCAGGGGTGAGCACGACCCTAGGCTGCTAAAAGGGTAGCGTGACCTTGGCACAGTGTTATGTCAAGGATGAGCACGATCCTAGGCTGTAAAAGGGTAGCGTGACCTTGAAATAGTAAGATTTGTGATGATTGGGATTGGGATGTGATTGTGGTTCCTCACACATATGACCAGGGATGAGACGACCCTGGGTAAGTGATGCTATAGGGATGGCGTGCCCCTGGCATAGTGTGGGATGAGTGAGACAATTAATACGTATCACTTATGTCTAGAGTGGCACGACCTTGAGGTGACGTGACCATTGACATAGTGTTAATTGCAAGATTTGTGATAGATTGGTGTGATTGTGAATTGTGATATGAATATGATGCATGATTGATAGAATTAGAATGTATGAATATGCTTGTAAAGACTTCATTAATTGATGAATTATGATAAGATTATGTTGTGTTTTTCCTTGTGTTCTTTATATATAGATGTTTTCTTTTCTCACCGTATAATTTGTAGATGTTTTAGGTGAGGAAGATTCGGTTTTGAGTGGCATCTAGAATGTCAATTATTGAATTGTGGGTGTGCTCTGGTATTGTGACATCGGGGCAGATAATTTCTAGGATATGAAATTTTTATATGAATTTGGAGTTGTAATTATTATTTTTTAAAACAAATTGTAAACTTTTATATTTTATTTTCCAAATTTTATTCATGTTGGACATTGAAGATCATTTGTGAAGGTTTTTATGTGAACCCTTTTACCAATACGTTGAAAAAATTTATTTCCTTAATTTAATTACATTATTATGATATATGTGTTGGGGTAGTAAGAGTGTCACAGTCATTGATTTGAGTAAAATAATGGGAGCATATTTAATCAAAGGCCTTGTTAAATATGTTGTAAAGTATGATACTTAAAATATGTAATTTTATTATTTTAGATAACCATGTGCAAACACATAGTCATTGTGATTAGTTCTTTGGAAGGACACATAATCACATAAGTGATTTTTTTGATTGGTAATAAAACGCAAGAAATGCTCTTAGGCAAAAAAGAAAGCTATAAGTTGTTAATAAGCTAATTATTGAAGCCACTCGCGATTTATGATTATAAAGTTGATAGAGATGTTTAACAGAATCACCTAGATGACACCATAGATGTTGGATGCTACATGTCTGCTACCAAGAACTTGAAACTATTGAAGCAATTTAAGAACATGGAGGCATTTGGTATGGTTAGGAACTTTTGGATGCTCTTTTAAGAGCAAGCAAGGTAAGAGAGGTTTGAT